AGCGGGCACCGGCACCGGGAAAGTTACCGGGGGAAGTTTTCACCGGGGGCGGGCGGGGATGAGACATCGGCGTGAGTCACGGAGGCGCCCCGGGGCTGGGTTTGGGGGTCTTTGGTTTGGGGTTTTGGTCTTTTGGTGGTGGGTTTTTTTTTGGTCCCCCTCTCTCTCTGCCACCCTGCCAAACCCCCAAGCCGCCGGTGCTGAAGATGGGGGCTGTGTGCCTTCTGCCTCCCTCCCTGGGCTGCAGGTGCGAAACGCTGTGATTCGGGGGAGCAGGTTGTACTAGAGTGACTAGAGACAAGGTTTTTTTGCTTGGAAAATACTGGAATTTCACAAGTATGGATGGGGTTGGCTTATTTCCGCAGTGTTGGTGACCAGGAAAGCGCAGGTAGGAAGGAACCAGACAGAGGCGAAACCCCAAGTGCTCCGGTGAGGTTCTCACTGCCAGCAGCTGGGGCAGCTCACGGCTCTGCTGCCTTTGGCATCCTGGGGATGTGGCGTAGAGCGGTGACGCTGATCCCTGACACCTCTTGTTTGCAGAGGGCTCTGCCCCAGCCGTGCTGAGCTACATTTCTTTTGACTGTCACCTTCTATTTCCAGCCCCACATTATTTTTAGCTGGTTTATATTTATTTGTTCTTCTTTCATAGAATCATAGAATGGTTTGGGTTGGAAGGGACCTTTAAAGGTCCCCAACCCCTTTTTCAGCATCATCCTTCAGTTTAATGAGCATTTTCCCCCTTCCTGGTATATTTCTGGGTGGGGATTATTTCCCCCCCTATTCCTCATTTTGCTGAAGCGACCAAGCTGGGCTCTTCAGCTTTCTGGCTTGAGACGGGGCCTTTTCGTGTAAATGCTCTTCTCTGCATTTGCTATACTTGGAGTTCATCATTTCTGGTCATGAGTGATGGGAACAGTACACAATATGCCGGTTGAAATTTCATTAGGGCGTTAATGCATAATTATCTCCCCTGGAGGAGGAAGACACCTCAATTTATACCTCCGCAGATCTCATTTGCCTTCCCTAATGCTTCAGTACATCTCGTCTGGTAACTGAGATACAGCCAGGTCTTTATCCTTCAGAATTAACACAAAATCCAGTACTATTTTTGTATGGAAATTGCACTTTCTGCCACCTGTTAGTCTTTACATCAGCTATCTGACTCACGTTAAGGACGCTCAAACGAATGTCTGGTTTGTCAGAGATACATCCATTCAAGCCAAAGACATAGCTCTTGGGTATAATCAGTGTACGCAAGAAGAGAATCAGGCTCTCTGCTTACATAGCAATATCAGCCAACTTTGTAAGTGAACCCTCCAGAGAAGAGGTAGACATTTTAAAAAATCATCCCAGTGGGTACATTTATGTTAGCATGTGAGGGATCTGTTGTTCCTAAGATGGTTAGGGAAGCACTGACTAACTCCAGAGGTGCTACACTTGGTGCCTCTTTGGCTGTAAGGATGCTCTCTACAAGCCGAGCTTTTTCAGATGGACATCATCAGATTAGTCCTCTGGGTCAGTTACTGACCCTCAGCTCTGCCATCATTTATTGGCTTGCGCTTTTAATAGTCATCATGGTGTGATGGGACAGATAGCCCAGTAGCCTCCTGCAGCGTAACATCTCACGTCCCTGGGCTGACTGACTCCTGCTTTCATCGTTCTGTGCATGAGCGTCCAGGCTCAGCCTGCCCACTCAGCCACTCAGCCTGCCATGTCCTTCAATATCTCCATTTAATGGCACTTACTGTGTTTAATCTGGTCGTGATGAAAACCCAGGCAGTGTCAGGATCTCACTGTGTACAGGGGTGCAGATAGTCCCTGTAGGTAAGATACAGACTCTTAACAGGAAAAGACAAAGGATGAAGTGAGAGTATTAAAGGACCATATATATTAAAGGACCAAATAAAAGGCATGTAAATTCTGTGTCAAAAAGGAATAATGGGGAGGGTTATTTTTCAGAGGATAAGTCTTATGGCTGCTGGTGAGGCACCAGGGAAGATGGAAAAGATGGAAAGAGATTGGGTGTGAAATGAACAGGTGCAAGGACAACATAAGAGAGAGAAGATCTGTGCACAGCCAGCACCGGGCAGAAGAAATCCAGCTGCGGCTGTTTTAAGTGCTACAGTTATCCCTGACTCTTTGGTTCATCTCCTTCTTCATACCCTCTGTCGTTTTGAGTCTTTGGCTGATTCCCCTCTATTGCTGGTCCTCACCCTGCATCCTTACGGAGGCTGTATGAGGGTCCCCAGGGCCTGGCAGGGTGGGGGTGGGAAGAAGGTCCCAGCCAGACTCTGGTTTTACCCTATTCCCACTAGGTGTAACAGCGCCTGCTGCAAGACAGTCCTCTCCTTCCTCCTGAAAGATGCTAATATTCACTGAGAATGCGTAGTAATACAAGGAAGGAGTAAT